CTTCCTGGGTCTGGGTTACATCACTCAGTATGATTTTATTTAGTTCCATCCATTTGCTTGCAAATTTCATGATGTCATTGCTTTCTAACAGCAGAGTCGTCCTCCATTGTGTAAATGGACCACACTTTCTCCGTTCTTCAGTTGAGGGGCATCAGGTTGTTCCCAGGTTCTGGCTATGACAAATACTGCTGCTGTGAACATAGTTGAGCAAGTGTGCTTCTGGTAGGATGGATTCTATGGGTAGACGCCCAAGAGTGGTGCTTCTGCATGTAGGGGGAGAGGCCACTTGTTCGTCCTGCTGCCCAGTTCCTGGCCGCCCTGCTAGCGTATCTCTGAAATAACCACACAGAAACTGTATTCACTAAATCATTGCTTGGCCCATTAGCTCTAGCATCTTATTGGCTAACTCTTACATTAATTTAACCCATTTATATTCATTTGTATATCGCCACGTGTCAGTGGCCTACCAGCAAAGATTCTAACTGGGGGAGGATTCTAACTCTGTCCCAGGCGGAGGATCCATTGCTTCTCTCTCTCTGCTTTCCTTCTCCCAGCATTCAGCCTAGCTTTCCCGGCCTACTTAAGTTTTCCTTATCAACAGGCCAAGGCAATTCCTCTATTCATTAACCAATGAAAGCAACACATAGCCAGAAGGAACTTCCCACACCAGCTGGGTCTTGAGGTAGATTGATTCCCAATTTTATGAGAAATCACCCTATTGATTTTCAAAGGGGCTGTACAAGTTTGCACTCCCACCAGCAATGGAGGAGTGTTCCCTTGCTCCACGTCCTCACCAGCATGGGCTTTCACTTGTGCTGTTGATGTTGGCCATTCTGATGGGTGTAAGATGGAATCTGAGTCTTTTTTTTATTTGCATTTCCCTGATGGCTAAGAATGTTGAACATTTCTTTAAATGTTTCTTGGTCATTTTAGATTCTTCTATTGAGAATTCTCTGTTTATGTGTGTACCCATTTTTAATTGGATTATTTATTTTCTTGTTATATAGTTTTTTGTTCTTCTCCCATCCCATAGGCTGCTGCTTTGTCCAAATGCCCTTGTCCTTTCTGTGTAGAAGTTTCTCGGTTTTCTGAGGTTCCATTTATTAGTCGTTGATTTTAGTGCCTGTGCTAACCACAGCTGATTTTTAAATTTTATTTCTTGAGGCCAGGTCTTACTATGTATACCAGGGTAACCCGAAACTCCCTATGTAGACCAGGCTTGCTTTGAACTCACAGAGATCCGCCTGTCTCTGTCTGTCGAGTGCAGGGATTAAAGGTGTACTCCAGCACGCTCTGCCTTGGGTTTTCTGGAGGCAGCAGAAGTCCATCACCCCCCTCAAATGTGCAAGCGTGGTGGTGTTCTGATCTTTCTGGAACCTCTGTGGTCTCTGGGACAGGGAATTTCGCCCACTCACGCACATTTCTCGTACCTACCCACAGAGGGCGCCGCTGTCCCTCTCTGCATTCAACTGTGGCTTGACGTCACTCAGCTTGGATCCCTTCCTGACAAAGGTGGGGATGTGTCAGGCTTGTGGGAGACCGCCAAAGGCACAGAAATCCCCTGGAGTCCAGTGCTTAGGTAAGCCACTGTGAGACCAAAGACCTGATGGCTCTCCACACAGGTCGGAGGCAGCAAGATGAGGAGTTCAAGACTGTAGGACGGGATTTGTAGAGATGGCTCAGTGGTTAAGAGCACTGAGTGTTCTCCCAGAGGACCCAGGTTCAATTCCCATGCACCCACATGGCAGCTCACAACTGTCTGTAACTCCAGTTCCAGGGAATCTGACACCTTCATACCAATCGCACATAAAATAAAGTTAAATAAACATTTTTTAAAAAGACTACAGGACCCTGTCTTAAGCATATGCAACTAGAGCGTGTTCACATGGCTTTCTGGAGACATAAGGATTCCTCTGACTTCCAAAGTGATTTCCAGGATAGCCAGGGCTACATAGACCCTGTGTCAAAAAAAAAAAATCACCCCAAACTTCACAACATAGAAATAAAATGTTGTATACAGTATTACACTGACATATATTTCATGGCTATAATATGTATCATAAGTATAGTTATGTATATTGTGTGTTATGTGTTTATGTGTTATATGTTGTATGATTCATATAATATATGCAACTAATGAGTAATATGTTACATATGTAAAACCTACACTATCTACATATGATATATAATGTGAATTACACACATGTATGCATGAATATATGTACAGGTAATCACCAACATATTTACTAAGTAACACAATACATTACTGCATTATTTAATATGCAATATATTATATATGTCTATCATATAGCACACATATAACATATATGTTATATGTCTATAATGCTTCTATAATGTATGTCATGTGTGTAATACATATTACATTGCATTGTGTAACTTATTTTACACATCATATTATTTAGTTATATATACATAGCATAGATTAAATATTAGGTATGTGGGATGCATTATATATTACATGCACAGGTATTACATTATACATATACAATGCAAACATATGTTATGTTACATATATAGGATATTGTTACATGTGCCAGTGGGTCATATGTTCTACGTGAATGTGTCTGTGTATGATTCTCCCTTAGCATAAGGGGGACACCTACTCTTCAGCACCTACCAAGCCCTCGTGGTGTCTGTGTTCCGCTCACCTGCACTTTCCAAGAATACATAAAATCACAACTGAAAATCACAGCACACACTGTACTGTATCATCACTAGCGGCAAGCCGAGGGGAGGAGACGGCACTCCTGCAGGGACCCTGGCAGTGTGGGCATTCGTCTGTGACTGTCTGGTAGGGCAGAAGCCAGGCATACTGCTTCTCCTGGTTGGCTTTGCTGGGTTTTTGTTGTTTTGTCAGCTTGACACAAACGACAGTCATCTGGGAAGAGGAACCTCAGTGGAGACGACACTACCATACGACTGACCTGGGCAAGCTGGAGGGACATTTTCTTTCTTAAAAACATTTTAAATTGAAGCTGGGTGATGGTGGCGCACGCCTTTAATCCCAGCACTTGGGAGGCAGAGACGTGTGAATTCAAGGTCAGTGTGGTCTACAGAGTGAGTTCTGGGACAGCTAGGGCTGTTACTCAGAGAAACTATGTCTCAGAAAAAAAAAAAGACAAAACCCAAACATTTAAAATTGGAGTATAGTTATACCACTTCCCCTCCCCTTTCCTCCCTCCATCCCTTCCCAGGTCCCCTTCCTGAATCCCTGAGATGTCCCCGACTCTCACAGTGACAGCCTCCTTTCCTCTGACAGTATTGTCACACACGTGCATGTGTGAACACACATGTATACACACAACCTGCTGAGCCTGTTTTCGTTGTCTGTGTGTATGGCTTCAGAGCTGACCACCCTGCACTGGACAGCCAGGGTCCTCCTCCTGGCAAAGGCTAACTCTCCCCCTCCCAGCAGTCGTTAGCGGCCTGTAGTTCTTTGTCTGGGGTGGACCCTGTGAGATTTTCTCCCTTCCAGATTGGCAAGTCCGCTGATACTGTTCCGTCTTGTTTATGCAGCCGTTCCTAGGGAGACTGCTTCACAGTGGACTTCCTGCGATTCTGGCTCTGAGGATCTTCCCGGCCCCTCTAAGCAGATGCTCTCTGAGCTGGGATGCAGGAGCTGGGATGAGGGCGTATCACTGGGGCTGTGCTCCCACATCTGCTGATCCCCACTGTCCAGCTGTGGCTGGCTGTGATGGGTTCCAGTTGGTGTGAAGAGGCTTCTGCCACGAGGTGTGGGAACCGCACTCAGCTGTGGGGCTGAGGATGAGATGCAGTCTGCAGTACGGAACCGGGCTCATCTCTCACAGTCGCACTAGGTCCCTGTCTTAATTAGGGTTTCTATTGCTGTGAAGAAACACCATGAGCACAGGAAGAAAGACATTTCATTGGGGCTGGCTTACAGTTCAGAGGTTCAGTCCCTTATCATCACGGCAGGACAGAGCAGCATGCAGGCAGACGTGGTGCTGGAGCTGAGTGTCCTACATCTTGATCCCCAGGCAACAGAAGATTGTGTATCACACTGGGCATAGCTTGAGCACAGGAGACTGCAAGCCCGCCTCCACGGTGACACACTTCCTCCAACAAGACCATACCCACCCCAGCAAGGCCACGCCTCCTAATAGCGCCAATCCCTGGAGGTGAGGCTTTCGAAGCCATTGAGGACCATTCCTTCAAACCCACCCAGTCCCTGACCTCACAGCCCCGAGAAACTGGCTCGAATTTCAGTAGCAGGCACAATTTCCTTCCTGCTGAGTGGGCTTCAGGTCCAATCAGACAGCCGGATTTTCTTAGTGATCGATGGGGGCGGGCCCATCTCACTGTGACCGCTTCCGTCCTTGGGCAGGTGGTCCTGGGATATCTAAGGAAGCAGACTGAACAAGCCACGGGGAGCAAGCCAGAAACAGCATCCTCCATGGCCTCTGCTTCAGTTCCTGTCTTGAGTTCCATCAGACTGTGACCGGAAGCTAAAATAAACCCTTTCCTCGCCAAGTTGCTTTTGCTTGCGAGGTTTCACCAGAGCGATGGAAGCCATGACTATTCTACATTCTGCATGCTCGGCAAAGCATACCCAGCCCCAAATGTCACCCTTCCTTCCCCACTGGGGCTGCCTAGTTAGACCAGATGACTTGGGTTTGAGATCTCCAGGACCCATATTGCACAGGCCCCTGTGGTTCCCTGAGACCAGAAGGTGATGGAGGTACAGGTGGCCGTGAGCCACACCTGATGTGGGCGCTGGGTACCAAATTCGGGTCCTCAGGAAGAGCAACAATCCCGCAGTCCTGGGATAGGATCACAGCTTCTCCTCACCGTGCTGGTGACAAATACAAACCAACCAGCAGCCTGCAACGCCCCCCTCCATAGAGGGCACACTCTGCTGAGAGCCTTCAAACCTGGCACACAACAGTTAACCACCGGGCTTGGCCAGGTGCCCAGCCCGGGCTGCTCCATAGTTCCTTTCCTTTATCCCAGTTGCTGGGAGAACTCGGTGGGGTGACCAGAAAGTACCTAAGACAAAAGCTACCAGGAAAGACAGAGCCTTGTTTTCACGGTGGCTCTGGGCCCAGGCAACTTCCTTCTCCCAGGGACTTCGGAGCTGGTGCTCTGCCTGCCAGTAAGAGGGAAGCTGGCGTCCCCAGGAGAGCCTGGAGCAGGCACTGCAAAGGGCGCTAAGCTTGGGGAAGACCCACACACACTCTTGTTGAGGTGTCTGCAGTAACACTCGGGAGCCAAAATGATGGGTGGCTGCCCAAGAACCCACTGAGGCACAGATTCTTCATGAAGCCTCTTACTGAGAGCCAGGCGTGCATCTGTGGAACCCACATTCCCCGGGCAACTGAAAATGGAGAGATGAGCACCCTGAGGGTGAGTACCTACTCCACAGGACACGGGGTGTGAGTACCCACTGCACAGGACACAGGGTGTGAGTACCCACCCCACAGGATACGGGGTGTGAATACCTACCCCACAGGACACGGGGTGTGAGTACCTACCCCACAGGACACGGGGTGTGAATACCTACTCCACAGGACACGGGGTGTGAGTACCTACTCCACAGGACACGGGGTGTGAGTACCCACCGCACAGGACATGGGGTGTGAGTATCCACCACACAGGACATGGGGTGTGAGTACCCACCCCACAGGACACGGGGCATGAGTACCCACTGCACAGGACACAGGGTGGCCTTCACGGAGGTGGCGGGAAGGGGCCATCAAGTCAAGCACCTTCAGGAAACCTCAGAGAAGACTGGGAATTCCGCTCTGAAAATGGGAACGAATGTGAGTCACACAGATTGGGTTTAATGTGTAAAGGCCCTGAAGTTAAACTAGAAATGGATTTTCCTCTTTCTCTCCCCCTTTTTTCCTTCTCCCTTCTTCCTCATTTCTCTTCCCCTACCATCTGCCTTTTTGAGGCAGGATCTCATATAATCCAGGCTGGCCTCGATGTGCTATGCTAACCCAGGCTGGGGTTGAGCTGTTGCTGCTCCAGCTTCGGCAGCTGCCCCACTCCCGCCCCCTTGGTCTCACTGAGCCTTGATTGACCTTGAACTCACCAGTTCATAAGATTCCCCCCCCCCCACACACACACCTTCTGACTTGGGACTGTAGGGTGCCGAGGGCAGGGGCTGGAGCATGTTGGCAAGCCCTTAGTGCTGTGGTTACAGCTACGCCACCACGCCTGCTCAGACCAGGGCAGCTTTTGTTTGTTTGTTTGTTTTTCGAAACATGGTCTCTCTGTAGCTTTGGAGCCTGTCCTGGAACTCGCTCTGCAGAGCAGGCTGGCCTCGGATTTACAGGAGGCCTCCTGAGTGCTGAGATTAAAGGCATGTGCCACCACCGCCCGGCCAGGACATCTTAACCAATGGGGAATCCTGCCCCCGGGGAGGCACCGAGTCAGGACATATTTTTGAGTGTGGGCTTTGGTGGCAGTGAGGGTAGGTTCCCACAGAGTGGCTCAGTGTCATGAGGAAACTGAGCAGGCCAGGTTCCGAGCACGTGAAGAAACCCGGGCTCTTGTGGGGAAGATCAAGACCAAAGAGTTAGGAGCCTCCTGTAACACCCAGAGGGGTCAGTTAACGGCTTGTGGAGCTGGAGCGTGAGCTGGTCTCGTGTGTGTTGGGATGCTCCTTTCATAGCCTTGCGCAGACTCCAGGGACCAAACACCTTTACCCTCTGATCTCTCTTGCCAGCTTTCTTTTGTTTTGCTCTGTTTTTAAAGGATTTATTTATTTCATTTTAAGTGGATGTTTTGCCTACATGTACATATATGCACCACACGTGTGCAGTGCCCTCAGCAGCCAGAAGGGGGTGTCAGAACCCCTGGAACTGGAGCTACCAGTTACCAGTGCCACAGGTAAGGCACTGTGTAGGTGCTGGGGACTGACTGATGTTGCTATACACCCAGGTCAATCCGAGACTCACGACCTTCCTGCCTCACCACCCTCCAGAGTGCTGGGATCGCAGGTGAGGCACAGCATCACACCAAGCCATTCCTGTAGTACATATTAATATTTCATATAAATACCATACAATATAATATAGTGCACATATCAAGCATTCTGTATTTGGCACCTTGCAAATCCGTGTGTTCTCAGGGCCTTCTTCTGTCACCATGGCTACATTGACATTCGTTGACCCATGATGCTTCCTGACAGAGTACTTATGAAAAACAGGTGACCTGAGGGCGTTTGCTCTCAGTTCACAAAGACAGGGCAGATGCTTGGACCAGGAGGCGTGACGCTTCCACATTCCAAGAAGACAATGGAGGAGGCTGTGCTCTCGCCACAAGAGAAACCGTCTATGCCTGTCACTGAGAGTTGGTCTTGCACAGTGGTGCTCGACCTTCCTAATGCAGCGGCCCTTTGGGAAGGTTCCTCTTGCTGTGGTGACCCCCCAAGCATAAAGTTATTTTCATTGCTGCTTCATAACTGCAATTTTGCTACTGTTATGAAACAGAATGTAAATACTTTTGGAGATAGAAGTTTGTCAAAAGGGTCGTGACCCACAGGTAGAGAACCGCTGGTCTGGGGTCTTATGCAGGCTAGAAACCAGACTGCATCTGAACCATCTACACCAGTCACTGGGGATCCTAGGCAGGGGCTCCACCCTGAGCCACGCCCCCAGCCCCTCACTGGGGATTCTAGGAAGGGGCTCCACCCTGAGCCACACCCCCAGCCCCTCAATGGGGGATCCTAGGCAGAGTCTCCACTCTCTTGAAGTTCCTGGCACTCCTATTCCTGAGAATCATAAATGTCTGCAGACACTGGGGCAGCTTAAGGCTCCAGGTGAGACAACCATCTTGCGTTACTTTCATGGTGCATGAACACTGGCTTATGAGAGGCACAAAGAGGAGTCTCGCCCTAATGCCAGGGCTACGTATGGCTCCCAGAAACCCTTGGTCTCTTCTGCACATCTGGGCTCAGGCTCAACTTACACAGAGGCCCCAGGGGAGCCTGGTGTTGGAAAGATTGTCTGGTCCCTGGGCTCCGGTGCCCAGAGCTGTGAACCATGGTTGCTATGGCAACTACTGAAGCTTCCATGAGAAGCTGGAAGAAGACTCTGGTGCCTAAAGAACAACATCCAGCAACCCGGGAAAGCCGCCGCTCCATATCCTGTTAGTCTTTGCAGACAAGCAGAGTGGAAGCAGCATCTAGGCAACCCCAAGGAATGCTGGGGTGACCAAGGCAACAAGTAACCAAGGGCCCACAGAGCCTGGGATACACCCCCTCTTCCACATGGCTGTGCCTGGCCAGCCTCACAGAGGAACTCCTCGGCCACTGGTGTGAGGTGCATGGGTCGCAGGCCCTTGATGGGAAGCATGAATGTGGGCCCCCTTAGCCCTGGCACTCGCCAGCGGCTTCTCCAGGGTCAGGCGGGCTCCCTCTCAGCACCCATTCCCAGCAGCAGTGTGGCCATCTTCATCAGCTCTGCCATCTCAGGTAAGGGCAAGTTGGGGGCCAGAGACAAGTAGACACTCTTGATGATGGCTATGCCTCACGGGGTCCTCCAAGAGATGTGTGTGAATACAGATAGGCCGGTGACCCACATAAGAACCCTTGTCGGGGTCCTCCTGGGTCCTCTGCTCTTTTCTTCATCATATGAACAGTTGAACGCAGTCCTGTGAGTGGCCTGATATTGCATCCAATGGTCACAAGCAGTGTCTTGTGTGTGCTACTCTTACGCTTCGCCTGTGTGTGCTTGGCAGTCGCAGGAGGAAGAGCCCAGCATCTCGCACTCACTTAAGAGCTGGGGTGGGGACTTGCGTGCAGACAAGGGGCTGCTTCGTGTCTGCCCCACAAGTGTTCTCTATTGAGCCACACCCCTAACCTCCTGCCCAAGGATTTTTTTTTTAGAAAATATTCTTTTGTTTATTCATTTTTTATGCTGTTGTTCTGGGTTTAAAACCCAGTTTGTGCTAGGCAAACACTTTTACTAACGAGCTCCACTCCTAGGTCCGCCTTATTTTCATAGATGTATTAATGTGTGGGGTGCACACGAGCCATGCAGAGGACAGCTTTTAGGAACTGGTTCTCTCCTCCCTCCAAGTGGGTCCCAGGATTGAACTTGGGCTTTCAGACTTGATGGCAAGCCCCTTCACACAATGAGCCATCTCAGTACCCCCATGCTTTAATTGTATGTTGGTTCTCCCTCTAACCAAGCTAAGAGCTTTGTGATAGTACCAGCTGCATACAGCTGCACACAGTTGTGTGTTCTTCACATTAAGTAAAACCATGTATGCATGAAAATGCCTGATCTGCATTAGCTCCCAATTTCCATGATGTGATTACTTTTACAGTCATGTTCATGCAGCACTCTCACCGAGCATGCAGCACTGTCTCTGAGCACACAGCACTGTCTCTGAGCACACAGCACTGTCTCTGAGCATGCAGCACTGTCTCTGAACATGCAGCACTGTCTCTGAGCACGCAGCACTGTCTCTGAGCATGCAGCACTGTCTCTGAGCATGCAGCACTGTCTCTGAGCACACATCACTGTCACTAAGCACACAGCACTGTCACCAAGCACACGTGCCATAGGGCACTAACACCTAATGGTCCATTTTCTCAGTTTGATCTGGATGAACGTCTTCAAGTTCAGAGCTAACCTTCAGATCTCAGGTTGCTAGAAGACACGTGCTTTGGGTGTTGCTGGGTTTTCTTCCCAGTGCGGAGTATGTGCTACCTTTCAATTTTTATTTTATTTATTCACTTTTTAAAAAACATTTCGAGACAGGGTTTTCCTGTGTAGCTCTGGCTGTCCTGGAACTCACTCTATAGACCAGGCTAGCCCAGAACTCACAGAGGTCCATCTGCCTCTGTCTCCCAAGTTCTGGGATTAAAGGCGTGCGTAACCCTGTTTAATATTTTGGTAACGGCTGTGTGGAAAGTGACTGGTGACACCGCTGAAGAGTCACTGTTGTCTGCTGCATGGATTGCATGTATTCTTTTCATCTGCTGGGGACTGAGCTTGGGGTCCCCACACATGCTTGACAGGCTTCCCCAACTCTGCATATGCCTGAAAAGTTCAGATGGTAGAGTCACATGCAAGCCCCTGATTTCAGACGTTGCTGTGTCTCTTGATGTAATCCTCATGCTCAGCACGAGAGCCTGAACTTAGTATCTGATAAGAATTTTATGAACACATCCAAATAGCCTCTAAAGCTGATAAAACAGATTGGGACGGGACAAGCGAGTAGGAAATGAACCCCAGACTCCCCATCCTGGCAGCTCCCAAGTTAGAGTCTGATTGATACTTTGAGTCACTTACTTTGGGTTATGGAGGAGCCCCTGCCTAGAATCCCTAATGAGGGGCTGGGGGCGTGGCTGAGAGGTGGAGCCCCTGCCTAGAATCCCCAGTGAGGGGCTGGGGGCGTGGCTCAGGAGTGGAGCCTCTGCCTAACTTGAGGCTCTAGCTTCTGTGTCAGCACAACAGTCACACCTGGTTCACTCTGCATTTCAGAGGAGCTGGGAATAATTTTTCAGTGTGTTAGAAGCAGAGCCTGGAATAGATCAGCATGTACTTGAACGTGACCTCCCGGGCTGGGTCCAGAGGGCCCCATCCACCCATGTTCCCTGACCTACCTTTTATCCGGCTGCCCTCACTTAGCTCGGGCTCACCCTGCTGGGCCGGGCCTGAGGGTGTCTTGGGTGGTGATATTTGTGGAACTCACACAGGCAACTCCAGGTGTTCCAGACAGTTGGATTCTTTGATTTGATTCCATATAATTTTTAAATTTCATCAATTTTGTGTGTGTGGTCTTTCTGGGGAAAGAGTTACAGCTGCACCAGGACAGCACACGTGTGTGGAAGTCAGGACAGCTTTCAAGATCTGTTTCTTCCTTCTGTCCTGTGGGGCAGGTGGGCAGAGTCATCTTGGTCCCTTCTCTTTCTTTTCCTCCTCCTCCTCCTTTCCTCCTCCTCCTCCTTCTCCTCCTCCTCCTCCTTCTTTTCTTTCCCTCCTTCTCTTTTCCCTTCTTCTCCTCCCCCTTCTCTCCTCCTCTTTTTTTTCTTCTTCTTCTGTATTTTTTTTGGTGTTTAAGACTCCAACCTTGCAAGGGTCTGATGAGACAGAACTCAGTAGAGGCAGAACAGACTTCTGGGATCTCCTCTGTAACACACTCGGGCTGTGCCTTTCAGATATGGACGCAGAGCGAGAAGCCCTGCAGTGCACTGCCTACCCCGAGGTGCAGAGCTTCTGCCGGAAACATGGCTTGACATTTGAGGTAAGCATCTGTGATCTCTCCAGAGTCACACGGTCCCTTGTCATCTGTTTGGTGCTTTAGCTTTGGGTCTCAAAACTCAGAATGTTTTTTGTTTTGTTTTGTTTTGTCTTTTGAGATAAGGTCTCATTTAGCCCAGGCTGGACTCAAATTCACTGTGTAGCTGAGGATGGCCTTGAACTCCGCCTACTTCCACCTCCCAAGTGACAGGGTGACAGGTGTGTAGTGATACATCTGGACCCTAGGATTCGTGTGTGCTAGGCAGGTACTCTGCCAAGTGACCTGTAAACACTACTTACTGAGCTATGTCTCCAAGAGGTCCACCTACCTCTGCCTCCTGAGTGATGGGATTAAAGGCGTGTGCCACTGTGGGGGGTCCCTACAAAACCATGGTCAGTAGAGAAATATCTTTGAGAGGCAAGAAGGAAACCCAGTTCAGCAAAACTTAGCCAGCTGCACTGAATTAGGCTTCTGGAGTCTGGCCTTAGTTCAGGCATATTTAAGTCCAGTACAACTTTGACCAAAAGCTGGTGACAGATTTCCCAGTCCCTGTGCACAGTAAAGCTTAAGGTGTGACTAAATGTGGCCCCCACCTTAAAGAGTTCTGTAGCTTAGGGGCCCAGGATCTGCTGTAGTCTCTGCCCAGGATAGCGTAGAGGGCAGCAGGCTAAGAAGTCTGTCAAAGTTATGCACCACCACTGCCCGGCGAAGCCTGGCTTCTGTGTGGGTTCGTGGGATGGAACTCAGGGCCTCATGCTACAGACAAGATCTTGGAGACCTGCCATCACCCAGCCCTCTCCATACTCCTTCGAAACAAAGTCTGCCTTGACCTGATCCTCCTGCCTTAGCCCCCAAACCATTTGGGGGACGTCCCTGCCACCCCCCCAGCTCCATCCATTTTTCTCTTTCTTTCGTTAGTCCTTCCTTCCTTCCTTTCTCCCCCCTACTCCTCCTCCTCCTCTTCCTCCTCCTCCTCCTCCTCCTCCTCCTCCTCCTCCTCCTCCTCCTCCTCCTCCTCCTCCTCCTCCTCCTCTTCTTCTTCTTCTTCTTCTTCTTCTTGGTGGTTTTGGTCTTTTGAGACAGGGTTTTGCTGTGTAGCCTTGGCTGTCTTGCAACTCACAGACATCCACCTGCCTCTATCTCCCAAGTGCTGGCATTAAAGGTGTTTGTCACCCTGCCAAGCAAGACAGTGTTTCTAAAGGTCAGCCCCATTCTTATTGTTGTTATTGTTCCTAAATGTTATGTATGAATTTATACAAAACAGTCCAGACCAATGTGTCTTAATCCTTGGAGTCCTCTTTTTCCTGGTTACTCTGGAAGTGTTTCTCTGTATAACAATCCTGGCTGGCCTGGAACTTGCTCTGAAGACCAGGCTGTCCTCAAGACCCGCCTGCCTCTGCCTCCCGAGTGCTGGGACGAAGGGTGTGCCCACCACTGCCCGGCTCGTAGGTTTCTGTTGCTGGCAATACCACATAGCTGTCTCAGAGACTGTTGTTCTCAGAAAGACACTGAGAAGCAACAATGACCTTGTTCTTGTGCTGTTTAATGGTCACTCCTCCCAAGATTCCCAGTTTTCCAGTTCACCTCGATTCTCTCCTGGAGAGACTGCTTGGAATTGACAGCATCCATGACCTCCAACTACTCCAGGGTGAACTTCAAAACCAGCCTCTCGGCCAGGCGGTGGTGGCGCACGCCTTTAATCCCAGCACTTGGGAGGCAGAGGCAGGCGATCTCTGTGAGACCAGCCTGGTCTACAAGAGCTAGTTCCAGGACAGGCTCCAAACCCACAGAGAAACCCTGTCTTGAAAAAAAAAAAAGCAGCCTCTAGTTTTTGGTCCCCTTCTCCCCAAGCTTTTCTGTGGTGCCATGGTGGCAGAGGAGGCAGAAAGCCCAACTCCATTCTTGATAGACTCCTGAGAAAGGGCAGGACTTTCCTTGCAAGTATGAACATCTGAGTTCTGACCCCAGGATCCACATAGAAGCTGGGTGCAGTGGCGTGTGACTGTAGTCTGAACATGGTGGTCGGGCAAAGACAGGTCCAGTCCCAGAGCACAGTGGTTGTGCAGGCCAGTCTGACGGACCCTGACTCAAAAGCCAAGATGGGAGGAGTAAAGGAAGACGGCAGACATCATTGACCCTGGGGTTCCATACGCACAGGCACACACTTGTGCACACGTGCACACACACACACACACACACATGAGCATGCACACACGTATAGCACATGGAAAAAAGGGGCTGGAGGGATGACTCCGTGGTCAAGAGGACTTGCTGCTGATCTATCTGACCAGAGTTTGGTTCCCAGCACACACATTAGGCAACCCACAACCACCTATAATTCCATTTCCAGGAGACCCATTGCCCTCTTCTGGCCTCTGAGGGTACTGCAATGCACAGACACACGTGTTTACATTGTGTGTATACATAATTAAAGAAACAATAGCACATGCAGCCCAGCTGTGGTCGCTCACATGTTTAATCCCAGCACTTGGGAGAGGTAGGCAGATCTCTGAGTTTGAGATCTCTGAGTTTGAGGCCAGCCTAGTCTACAGAGTGAGTCAGGACAGCTAGGGCTACGCAGAGAACAGAGCCCCCCCCCCCCAGAAAACACACACACACACACACAGAAATACAGTGTATTAATTACAATATTGTTCAGCCAATGACTCAGGTATTTCTAGCTAGCTCTTACATCTTGAATTAACCCATTTCTATTAATCTGTGTATTTCCATGAGACTATGGCTTACCGGGTAAGGTTCCAGCATCTGTCTCCTTCGGCAGTTACATGGCATCTCCCTGACTCTGCCTACTCTCTCTATCTCTGTTCTGATTTCATGCTTGGCTTTACTCTGCTAAGCCATTGGGCCAAATAGCTTTATTTATCAACCAGTAAAAGCAGCACATATACAGAAGGACATCTCACACACACACCCAAATAATAATAACATTTTTGAAAAAAGAAAATAAGGAAGGAGCTAGGTTGGGAATTCTACTATTCCTGTCATTGATCAAGAGACAGAATTCAAGCTCAGAGAAAAGGGGACAATGAGTCAGGTGAAGTGGCTGACACCTGTGCTTCCTGTTACTTCAGGGACTGAAGGAAGAACATTGCTTGAGTCCAGAGTTCAAGGCCAGCTTGGGAAAGACAGGGAGATGCTGTCTCAAAATAAGCAAATAGAATAGATTAAACAGGACTTGGGGGTATAGCTCAGGGGTAGAGCATTTGGTTCACATGTGTGAGGCCCTGGGGTCCTTCCCCTGCACTATCAGAACAAAACAGTGACAGAAAGGGAATCTTACACACTTAGGGCTCACAAAGCCCTGTGCTTGTCACTTTAACACCTAACACTGTCCACTGGGAGGGGGGGGGGTGACTGGAGGCTACTGCCCCTCTCAGCCTTGGCTCCGGCAGCTGTATTTGCTGGGGATTTGCATTTCTAGGCTGCTGAATTGACAAAGGTGGTGTCAGCTCCCTCTGCCCCTTGTCTTCCTGTCACTCCAGCCTTCACTGGGCCAGTGCTACAGGCTGCCATTCTGCCCAATTCCCAACACCCTCCTCCACTTCCACCTCCCCCAGCTCCCTGCCAGTCAGTGACAGAGGTGGACCTGACCTGTCGTTGCTATGGAGAATTGGCTGGGTCATTTCCTGCTGGTCTCAATGTCCTCCCTCCCAAAGCCTGTTCTCAGCAAGCTTGGAATGCTCCCCTTTAACAAGGGACACGGCGAGAGACAATTAGCTTCCTACAGAATTTCTCAATTGCTCAGACAGGGTCTTGTGAAATCCAGGCTGACACTGACCTTGCTATGTAGCTAACCATGGTCTTGAGCTCAAGTTCCCCCGCTTTCAGGTGCAGGGATAAGAGACATGCTCCAGCCCTTCATGCTAGACAGCATTGGGCATCAAATTCAGGACTTTCTGTGGCCAGGCACTCACCCTACCAACCAAGGTACAGCCTCAGCCTTACCAAGCCTGGTTTTGTTTTTCAAGATGTATTATTTTTATTTGTGTTTGTGTGCATGTGTGTGTGCGTGCATGTGTGTGCCTGTGTGTGCGTGCGTGTGTGTATACATGTGTGTGCGTGCGTACGTGCGTGTGTGTGCATGTGTGTGCCTGTGTGTGTATGCGTGTGTGTACATGTGTGTGCGTGTGTGTGCGGATGTGTGCACGTGTGTGTACGCGGGCGGGCGTGCGCATGTGCATGTGTGTGTGTGTACAGGAGAGGACTCTGGATTCCCAGAGCTGGAGTCTCAGACTCCTATGAGACACCCAGTGCAGCTCTGGGAAATGAACTCAGATCTCTGAAAGAGCAGCAAGTGCTCACAACCACTAACACAGCCCTCCAGCCCCACAAACTTGTTTTTAAGTAAACTGTTCTCTTCTCTTCTCTTCTCTTCTCTTCTCTTCTCTTCTCTTCTCTTCTCTTCTCTTCTCTTCTCTTCTCTTCTCTTCTCCCCTCCCCTCCCC